GCGGGCCGGGCCGGGCCAGGCTGGGCCTCGGCGCCCTCTGCCCGCTGAGCCGGGGCTGCTGCACGCGCCCTGTAACCGCCTGTTTCTCCCGTCTCTCTCTCAGGCACATCTCTCTAACGCTCCCTGCTACCTTCCGAGGCAGGAACAGCACTCGGGCGGACTACGAGTACCAGCACTCCAATCTGTACGCCATATCAGGTACGTGGGGCCGCGGCCGCCGTCCCGGGCACCCCGTCCCGGACACCCCTCCCTCTGCACGCTTCCCGGCTTTCGGCTTTCCATGGCCTCAGTCTTGCCTGTCTGTTTTCTTCTCGGGCAAAGGGCCTGTTCCCCGCAGGGGCCGGGCCTCGCCTTCCCTTTGTGTCACCGAAGCCCTTAGAGAAGGGCCAAACACTCAGCATGTTTAGAAACTAATGATGAAAAACAGCGTGTGGGTTTCACAGGCTCGAAGGGCGGGTTCCGGAGAACAGTCCCCGCTTTGTTCACCCGCCAGGCCAGGCCCGAGCAGGTTTCTCCCGGGGACGCGGGAGCAGCGCAGAGTCGAGGCGGGTCCTCTGGCCCTCCCACATCCAGGTCTGTCCTCACCTCTCATTTCTCAAAGCCAGATTTGTGGCCAGGGGGTACCCCGGTGGTCTCCCCGTCACGCCCCTATCGCATGCGGCCGTGATTTCTGAACTCGACCTTGAAATCGGTAGTGTTACCTCGGCAGAAACGTCATCGGTCCTAGTTTTGCTTTTCACCTTCACCGGGGAGGAGAGACTTACGAGCCCCATTACAGGATTGAGATTCATTAGGTGCCCGGCAGGGCAGGTGACTTGCTAAGCGCCGAGGAAACCCGCAAACCCGCCTCCGCTTGTACCGGGCCTCCAGTCGGGGGTGTCTGCATCCAAGGGGGAAGTGGCAAATCGGTGCCACTTACCAGCGCACATTCTTAATGGTGAGTGACATTTCGAACACGGGAACATGGCATTCATTCATGTACCATAATGAATCGGTTATTTAAAAGGTAATCTTTTTTCCTAAAAATTGCAACTTCAGTTTACTAAATAGATGAAATAGAACAGTGGTGTAATTCGTGTCAGGATTAGTTCTCCTTGTTATGATCCCTCCCTAATAGGCTGGGAAGTGTGAGCAGAAGCCAGTTGTTCCATTTCTGGGTGGCTCACCAGCCAGGGAGAGGGAAGGACAGGGAGATCCTCAGAGCTCTCGTCCCTGGCTGCGCTCCAGGAGCCAGGGTCCCCGAGCAGGGAGGCATATGTTGTCTCAGAAAAGCATCTCCAGGGAGAACTGCTTTTTGTGCTGTGGCTATTTCGGCAGAGTCGACAAGGAGCATAACAAGTGTGGAAAGATGACCTATTTTGTAGAAAAGCTGACTATTTCCCCAGATGCCTAGTGGCAGAGTGGTGCAAAAGAAGTCTGTGAAAGCCAGCAGGGCCGCCCTGTTCCGAATGCACGTGAGGAAGGCTCAGTCACAGCAGATGACTCTTTTCTTCCAGCCTGCAAATCCTTTCCCAGCCAGTGTTCGCCTACCCGCCCCCCGCCCCCCGCCCGTCCCCCTCTGCCTGGG